ATTGTTATAATAGTGAAGTTATAAGTAGTTTTAGGGAAAACTATTTTGAGACTCGCCCAAATCTTTTTACACCTCTATCTTGATTTTGGTATTGTGTTTTGTGTGTATAATAGAAGGACGGACTCTTCTATTTGCAGGTTACATAAGCTTTTAGTCATTAATATCAGACTCGCCAATTAGCCTGCTACAGCAGGAAAGATAGATTTCCTTTAAATCTATTTAATATTTATTGCCAATTAGATATATATAATATAAAGTTTGCTTGAAAGCAAAGGTTTTTATGTGTAAAAGTATTTTATTATATATGTAAAACTGACTTCTCTTATTTTTCAAGGATTAAACTGAGGTAGGCAAATTTCTCCAGAAAATCAAGAAAAAATTTTTGGATGACTATAAGAGAAAAGATATAGTGTGTAGATACTTCGAAATATGACTTGATGTTTATCACCTTTTACTGCTAGAAATCTCTATAGATATGCTTCAATATAAAAGGCTTTAAGTATTACACTATTGATTTTTCTTTCTTGCAGAACTTTCTTTGGTGATTTTTATTTACTATGAAATAATATTATATATATGATGATTTATACATAGTAAATGTATTACATATTATATATACAACTAATCCTATTAAGGGAAACCACATGATACTCTTTTAATTTTTTCTAGAACAATTTTATAGAGTAATCTGGTTAACAGACTATTGTGTATATTCTAACCTGTTCTCAGTTTTGGAACTTCAGTGTGGTTCACAGATTTCTTCTTTCATCAAGATCTCCTTATAATTCGTCACTCACAAGCAAGTTTAGTTATATTTTTATATATCCTATCAGTACAATGTTTACTTTTTTCAGGACTTCAGCCTTCTTAATTTAACAACATCTTTATTGGTTAATAAGATTAACAGAGTGCCTTTGTCAATCCTGTTTTTATTCTGATTGATCACGAGATCAGCCTCATTTTCCTCCACCTTATCATGATAATGATAAGATACTAATTATTCACAATATATATAGACCGGCCTGATTTGGTAAATATCAGCTATAGGTAACATTGTATTATAGTAGATTCTTCTATTTTAGGTATCAGTAAGATAGCTAGGATTGCATTCAATAATAAGTATTAACTTGTGATCCAATGAAATTATTTTATTATGTGTGATATTTTTTCACTTGGTCCTCAGGTAATATTGAATTCTGAACCTTGTGATTGCAACCTGGAAGCACTACTACTATGCTATAGATTCACAGATATATGAATAAAACCTTATTATATTCACAATATTATTATATTAGAAGTATTGTATATAAATTGAAAAAATTGATTTTTACTGATTTTCTAACTACATATAAAAAAGATATTTACAAGAAGTTTTTACATTTTTTTTATTAATAAAATCTTAACACTTTTCTTAAAACAACTTGAAGTATGATTTCAATAGTCATATCTATTTTTTATTTATTGTTTATAAATCTCTTTACTTAAAAACTTGATTTCTAGTAATCAAAAAAAGTCAAGTAATATATTTGATATCAATGACAGAAAAGTTTTTAAAAAAAGAAAAACTAATTGTGAAGTATCTAAAAAACTCTTTTAACCTTTGAAGCAAGAGATTTATAGAGGTTTGTTATAATCAAAAAACTTATTTTTTTTTTTGAACTGTTTTAATTCTCTTAGAACTTTTATTTCATAGTTTTCTGAGGAATTTTACCTATCTTAATTTGATACTAAATTTTGAATTACACAAATTCTTATTAAAAATAATTGATTAACATGAAATATATTAGTTAATAAAAAAGTAAACAAGCTTATATTGATTATAACTATATAATTCAATAATATTAGTAGTGATATAAAAAAAAGTTTTAAATATATTTATCTTTAATTGAGCAAATTCTTTAACAAAATGGTTATGACATCAAAAGATATTGTAAGAGATAATGCAATCAATTTGACTTTTCTTCTTATCTAAGTTTTTCAAGTGGTAAAATGATTTTTTTAAGGAAAAGAATTGAGGTCTTCTATTTTTCTTGAGATATTTCAATTCAGTACTTGCTTAAATAATAGATTTATCTATAATATCATAAGTGATAACAAAGAAGAAATTCTTTTCAAGACTCAAGTGAAACATAAAAAATATTCCAATTAGACAAATCCCTTTGAAAAAAAATTATTAAATGGATTAAAGAACTTTTTAAAGATGCTTTGAATTGTTTCCTTTATTTTTTCTTATCCAGTTACTTTAATAATTTATTATTTTTCAGAATAATCAATAATAACAAACTATTAACAATGATCCTAATAGTTAGAGATCATCACTTAACTACTGGAAGAGTATAATATTATTCTCTAAATCTAACTTAAAGTACCTAGTTGAAACTTAATTTTGTTTAATTCAAACTAGCTTAGTAAACTTTTCATATTTTTTAAAAAGTGTAGTTTTTCAATGATAAGTTAGTTGCTTTGCAAAGTCTGTAAATATTTAGATATTTTTAAGTATTTCAATAAAAATATGTTATAGTAACATAATTGTGGGTAAAAAAAAAAAAAAAAAAAAAAAAAAAAAACAAATTGAGAAGAATGAAGGATAAGATATTCAAAAAGGCAATTAGTATTGATCAATTAAAAAGATATTATGAATAATCAATTGAAAGCCAAAGCATTATTATATAGTTATATATATTATAGAAAAAAAAAAATATTATTAACCCTTTGAATTAAATATTATTTGTAAAAAAATAAATTTACAAACTTTCTCTAATTATATCCTTATTGCTCTTTATAAAGTTCAAATAAAATTGATATTATTTCTATTTTTATTTATTTTTATTTAAAATGTCTGGTTCTTAATATAATGGAATTGAACTTTGTCTATATTACATTGTTCAATATAGTTTATGAGCCGACAGATTACTACTGTTAATTATATTTCGGAGACTGGCAAATAATGCAATGAGTTACCGAGAATGCAATGAAACCTAATGTTGCTTTAACCAGTTCTCGCTGGAGATCTAGTGCCAGTTCCCTTGGTTGGCAACGGACCACTAGGCTGTTGGTTACGGAATTGAGCCCTATATTGTTCCCGACTTCTTTCTTGAGCTATTATTAATGGTAAGGATAATTTAATTTAAAATTTTATTATCTATTACTTTCAAATCATAATATTACTCACGGTTATACTGAAGAAGTTTTGTGATCAAGTCGGTGTGTGTTAAAATCATACGACGACAACAATATCTTTGAAGACCAATTGAATCCATCGCTTCCCTTCCAGAAAGTTTAGTAAGGATCGCAGTAAAAATTATGCTGGATAATGTGGGAAAGCCGCTTACCCTTCATTATAGTCATTTGCTAACATACTCTGATACAATTCCCATTTATTTCCAATTACTTTTCCACACGAGAAGCAACGAACAGGGATAATCATTTTAAAAGTTAATTTCAATTGTCCACTGTATTGGCATTAACATAATATACCCGTGCCACGTGTTGTAGATCAGTTTTAATTAAACATAATAGTTTATATTTTTATTCTATCCTGCAATTTTAAAATGGACATTTACAAAGATTATTTCCAGGCGATTGGTTGCTTCGATTATATTGTTGCCAATAGATTCGTAAATAAAATCTTAAAAGTAAGCGCCTGCTGCTTCATTGGTTGTAAGTTGACACGTTTCGCACGCCAAAAAGTCTAATGCGGAGTTTCTATTTCAGACCAATCCCACTTTTGGCTCGACACTTTTGGCTCTTATAAAGGGCGAACAGTCATACACCTCTTTCGAGTATATGAAAACGAAATCCTTTCGTAAAGATGTAAACAGGACCTATTTGATCATTTTTCGCGTTGATTATCTATTAGCATTTATTTTTTTTTTTGCTAACGAAATGACCGACGGTTTGTCCCAACAAAAATCTAGAAAACACAGCCTCACAAATTGTATGTCGAAGTGACAGATTCAATCAAGAACGTAATAAAATCTTCGCCCCTAACAAATCTCAATCATAATGATCAAATCGATCCAGATTACCTCGTGAAATTGTGTCAGGATTTAAGATATTTTTTAAATATTAGAAAAGGGCAGGTAAATGCGTAAGTATCGTTTTGTTTTATAGATGAAACTCGGAAACGTTTTAAACATCGGCTAACAAAGCTACCCAACTAGCTATCGCGATATACTAAATCATTTTCACGATGTCAAGTCCGAACATCTCATTGATAAAATTGAATCATGCAGAAAAAAGGCGGATGAGTGCAAATTAGCTGAACGCTTGGGTCTACTATATATAGGTGTAGAGTAAGCGATCACATTTTCACATATATTTTTTAAATATATATTTCCTTTTTCGGACCCTTGCTAATTTTTGATGGTGATATGACGGATATTAATCGTGATCTTTAGAAAAGAACTCGTAATTTTAAAACACCTTTTTATGGCACGTAGAGCAATCGCTGAATATAATATTAAAGACTCTGTGGTGTTCCTTTCTACTGCAAAGTCGCAACTTTCTTCTTGGAAAGAGATTTGCTCACAACAAGTATATTCCGAGGTAAATTTCGGTTTATTTATTTATTTATATCCATTTATTGTGTATTGAAATTATTTAATGTTTAGAAAAAATCGGAAGAACCCAGTGGAGCGTTATCCGCGCTTCATGCATTTTTTTCAGCTTCCGACGTGAGTAATTTAATGCGTTTCGTGGCTTGTTGCAATGGAATAAATACACTTATTTACCTACTCTTGCTTTGATAGAGATATGTGAAGCACAGCAACAGTTCGCCGAATCATGTTCAATGGCTTGAAAGATTCCTGAATAATCTGATCTCGACGATGACATTGTATTTTACGCGTATTCTTTGGGGAAGAGAGGCAGTAATGGGAGGTGATTTAAGGTCTTCGTGGAAGAAGATTAATCCGGATCATTATGCAACGTATGTTTTTAAAAAGATCATTACCGCAACGTGCGCTTCAATTATGAACCAATATTTTGACATAATTATCATAGCATCAAGAGTTTTCGAAGTCGGGGAGTACTCTACGTTTCGTTAATATACGAGATCACGGATGTACCATTCCATGAAAATGGTTATATTGGTACGGGGGTAGACTATGAAAAACCAAGCGGGAAAGATTCTTTTCGTTTTATTTTTTCTTATCCCGAGGTGAATATTCTTTTACACTCACGAGAATTCGTTTTTTTTTTTGGTTTAATATTTAAATGGCTTGAATTATATGACAGGAAAATCCCGATCACTTACCAAAGATAGCATCGATTATTCAAGAAAAAGATGAGACGAGGGAGACCCCATTAACCAAGAATGAAGCAATATATGAAAAATGCGATAATGCATGTTATTATTTGATCCGCATAGATCATCATGTCTGTCTTGTTGTCATATCAGAAAGGATGGAAAGGGCCGATAGCGGCACACTGGAATTTATAACGACATTGGCCAAGAAATTAAGTGGTTTAGAAGTTCTTAACATTCTGCAAAAATTTGCTGAATGATTTCTGTAATTACTTCGAATTAGGATCCTTTGTTGTATTATATGTATTTTTATGTATTTAAGTTATTCATTTTCGAAATATTTATTGTATATGCTACATTCTCTCATATATATACATATACCATTCCATTTAAAATAAGATCCGAATTGGATAATGAATAATCGTGTGATGAATACATAGTGCTTAGAAAAAATTAAAATTTTTTGCAGATCTGCACGTCATTCATCATTTACCATACCATTATCAGCAGGAATCACTGGATGCTCTGATTTACGGTCACGAACCATTTTATCCGAAAACCATCTGACAGGCTTTGAAACAGTCTAAGTGAAGAAATTATAATACAATTAGGAATCGTTTAACTAATTTAACTAAACAACACGAGTGCATTTATCTTCTATTTACACATACCCAAAGGATTCCACATAGGATGGCATCGACGAACGCACTATTTGATTCAGAAACTCCTGTGAATTTAAAAAGAACCAATATTATAATTCCGTGGGGATTATGGTCGGAATTACTGAATGAAGCACACAAATATCATCATACCTAATGATGCAGCTCTAAACGCATCACCTATGATATCTGAGGTGATAAAGAAATTTCCTTTGCAAAGACCTGTAAATGATCAATTGTGTTTAATTTATCTTATATAATTATCAAGTTGTAACGTGACGCATATATAGAAATTTTCGAGACCTTTGTATAAGGCCTTTGCTGCTTGTTCCGGCGTAATTTTGTCTTCTCCTTCAAGTTCTTTGGTAATTTTTGGCTTTGTCTTGTTCTAAAGGGATTTCAATGAACATTTTGTTAATCCTCGGAATAATCAAATATAAAATCATCAATACAACGACAATGTATCTATGATTAAGTAAGTAAATACCTCCTCGATAAGACCCTCGGTATCAAGGGTACCGGGAAAATAACAATGAACCCCGATGTCATAAAGGATTAATTCATGTCGTAGACACTCGGCCAAACCTAATTTAAAAATTCTCGAGTTAACAGTAGTCAAAAGTAACAAAAAAAAAAATCCGATTTAAAATAATCGGAATTACTTCGGAGAGCAACTTTGGATGGTGAGTAAGATGAATATCCGAGGAAACCGACGAAGGCTGCAACTGAACTAACAAAAACGATCTTGCCCTTAACACCTTGTTGAGCCATACGCTTGACAGCTTCCTAATGATCAAAATCATAATTAAAAATATATTCTGTGCAGCAGGAGATGCAATGGTCAATAATTGCTTTATTTGAATGTTACGTGAGTAGTATACAAGGTTCCAAAATAATTAAGTTGCATGGTAGCCTCAAACTCCTCTACCGGTTGTTCGATAAATACGCGCGGTATGGAAAAACCTGAACAGAAGACAAGATCGAATATAGTGAGGTGCCTACAATAAAAGAATTCGAAGGCCGTATAATTTTTTCGTTACCTGCACAGCAAATCACGACATCCGGTACTTTTCCGTTATGCCTCTCCGAAGCTTCATTAAGAGCACGGATTGATTCGTCTTTCTTAGAAATATCGGCGGATATGGCATTGAAAATCAAACTTTCATAATCGCTTCGATTTCTCGAAACCTAATCAATCATGTTGTGTCCAATTGTACGTGAGCAGAAATTTACGTGCGTAATAAAGTGAATGTATAATTACAGCTTTTATCTCTTCCAAGGTGGCATCTAACTCCTTTTGTCCTCTGGCGCAAATTGTAACGTGTGCACCCTTTGAAGCAAGCAATTTAGCAAGTTCCCTACCAAGTCCTTTGCTTCCACCGGTAATATATATATGCTTGAAATGGAATTCGGGTGAATGAATGTGAATTTTACATTAGCTCGATAAGTCGATAAATTACCTTTCCTTGAGGTTGAAATTTGTTTCTTCCAAAAATTTTTGCTGTAATTGAACTGACCATTACGTAACTGACAACAATTATTAAACAAGCTACAATTAATGACGCGATTGGGTGCAATTTTCCGGAAAGTTCGGAGTAAGGTGTATATTGTAAAATGTAATCAACTAGAGACCACATTTTCGATGCATACAAAAAAAAAATCCTGGTTGAAATTACACGACCGTTCGTGTGTACGCGCGGTGTCGCACGAAATGAGTTGACTGTATCACAAAAGGACTAGCTTTTTTATTTATAAATCAGAATATTAATACGTTTCCTGGGATAATTAATATAATTAATTACATGATGGGATATTGACATAGAATATTTCCAAGAAAAAAAATAAATAAATAAATAGATAAATCAGATGTAAAATTCCTAAGTGTGTTGCTTTGCTTTATGAAATACACTACTCTATTTAGATTTTTCTATCTCCCCAAATGTAAAAATAACAAATGTCCCGTGACTGCCATTTGCAAATCCATTAATTTCACGTGCCCACAAGTCCCAACCCTGATTGGACAACATTAAGATAAAGGTATTGGATTAAGGTCGGTAAGGAATTAAAAAAATGTTCTTTTCGGTTATTTCAGGTGCAAAAAACGAAGACGCTCTGTGTTATCTTTTGGAAGTAGACAATGAGATTCGTATAATGCTGGATTGTGGTTGGAATGATGAATTCAACGTGGAAGATTTAAAGCATCTGAGAAGGTATCGAAGATTACGAAAACGAAATACAAGCTATGTGTATTAAGAGAATCACAAACTTCAACTTTATTAGAGTGGCTAAACAAGTTGACGTGCTTCTTTTATCACATCCTGATCTTTCACATTTGGGGGCGTATCCTTATGCATATGGACATTTTGGTCTTTCGTGTCCCGTTTATGCGACTGTACCAGTTGTTCATATGGGGCGAATGTGCATGTATGATGTTTTTCAATCAAAAGTGAATGAAGTTGAATTCGATACTTTTGCTTTGGATAACGTTGATGCAGCATTCGAAAAGATAAATACTCTAAAATATTCACAGCCCACGTCGCTAGGAGGCAAGTAAAAGAGCTACTTCATCACACTCCTCTAATCGTCCGATCTTTGATAATGTCAAATTATATTTCAGGCAAGTGCAAAGGTATCACTATTACTGCTTACGCTGCCGGTCATACCATCGGAGGGACCATATGGAAGATCAAAAAAGATAACGAAGAGATCGTGTACGCAGTTGATTACAATCACAAGAAAGAGAGGTGACTTTCGAAATTATTACCTTGGCATTCTTTCCTCGGTGTTGCTCACATCAAATCATCATTTCCTCTAAAAAGGCATTTAGATGGCACTGTTTTACACATAAACGGTGTCGTCTTGGACGCATTGAGTAGACCTTCATTGATGATTACAGATGCTTACAATTCTTTAATAATTCACCCCGCACGAAAACATCGAGATGCTGCATTATTTGGTAACAACAATAATAATGATGATATCCCCCCTACGTTATAAAATTAATACCAATTATTAGGTACAGGATAAAGAATATTCTTATTCACCCCGAGATCAAATTCTCACCCGATAACATATTAGAGACGATTATGAGTACTCTTGGAAATAATGGATGCGTTCTGCTACCGACGGATTCATCAGCCCGCGTCCTGGAATTAGCTTATCTTTTGGATCAGCACTGGACGTTCCATCAAGTATCTTATCCGCTTATTCTACTGACCCATCAAAGTTATCGAACAATACAGTTCGCTAAGAGTATGCTAGAATGGATGAGTGATGCTATTAATAGACAATTTGATAGTAAAAGAGAAAATCCATTTGAATTTAGGTTGGTTTGTTTTCTTGGAATTAATAGTTCTTAGAGAAACCCCGATTGATGTCATTATTTTTCACCTCCTTACACATCTAACACACCCAAGCTTGCTAGTAATATACTTGTGTATATGGGTATATTCGTGTTATCACGGTAGAGGTAGATTGATGACATCATTTGGGATATCAGTAATCGATTTAATTGAAGAATGGTAACTCTAAAGTTACGAAAAATGTACTAAAATTTTAAACATCAATAAAATAAATTATAAAAACTTCAATTCATCTAAGAAATGGGATGGGATGATATAATAATAATAATTCAATAAATAAAAATTTTTTATATGTACCATCCAATAGGTACTTACGTCTATGTCACCGGTATAAAGACCTTTCCAAATATCCTGGGCCTAAAGTTGTGCTCGCCAGTAACCTTAGTCTGGAGACGGGTTATGCGCGAGATTTATTACTTGAATGGGGAACATCGGAATCCAATGCGCTCATCCTGACTGATCGTGGACCACCAAATTCATTAGCAAGGAGATTATATTATGAATGGGACAACCTCAGTGTATCCAGTAACAATCCGATAAAGCCAGTTGTTGGGTTAAATATAACAATGAATCTTTTGGTGAGCATCAGATAAATAATTTTTTTGTGGTTCGATTAGCATCTTTCAACCATCGATTAACGTTGATTATAGATTAGAAAGAAGGTTCCATTGGAGGGAACAGAGTTATTGGATTATAAATCCGAACAGCGTAAAAAGCAGGAACGTGAAGCAGCTCAGGCGGCACTTATAGCGAAAAGCAAATCAATAATAGAAGACGACGAGTCGGACGAATCAGAATCAGAAATAGGAGACACAGATATAGAAGAGTTACTTTCAACTCAATTCGATCTTTACGTACGCGATGCTACAAAATATGGTGGATTTTTTAAGCAAACCCAAAGTTACCTGATGTTCCCATATGTGGAGAAAAGAAAAAGATATGATGATTATGGAGAGATTATACAAGTTGATCAGTTTGCAAGGAGAATCGTTGACGGCGGCAGAGATGGTGACATTAATGGGGATAAAGTGGATCTGAATAGTGATAAAGATGAGGTAAGTGTGATAAGGGACTTGAGTTTTTTTAATATACACTTGATGACATGCAAGTAACTGTTACAGGCTGAAAAGGACGATCCTTCGAACCCTTCTTCAGAATCCAATGTTCCAACTAAATATGTCTCCTACAGTCAAAACATCAACTTTCGATGTCAAATAAGATTCATCGATTTGGAAGGAACCAATGATGGAAGATCTCTAAAAACGATTGTACCTCAAGTGCAGCCCAGGAAACTGGTTTGTTATTTGCCTTTGTCTATTTAATAATTTCATCTGATATTCATTTTTTAAATTTCTCCTTCATTCTCATTTCATATTGTTAAAAAATTTTTGATAAGATTGTAGTTCATGCGTTATCAGAAGCGACGAATGATTTTTATCAGAGTTGTTTGGCAATAGAATCAATGACGAAGGATATTTATACGCCTGATGTTGGTGAAGTGTTAAATGTGTCAGCTGCTATAAACTTTTACCAGGTCAAATTGACTGATGCTTTAGTTAGCTCTTTAAAGTTCTCAAAAGTAAGTGATTTTCCTTGGTTATCTTCTAACAGTTTTTCCTTATGATTCTAAATGGGTTCTCTTAATTAGCTTGAAGATTATGACATTGCTTTCGTGAATGGAAAAATCTCATTTCCACCAGACTCATCATTACCCATGTTGGATGTAGTGCCAATAGAGGAATCAAACTCTGGAAATCATAATCCTGTATTTGTTGGCGAGGTCAAATTAACAGAATTGAAACGCGTGTTACAGTCGGAAGGCATTGTCGCGGAATTTAAGGGCGAGGGAGTGCTGGTTTGTAATGAAAAAGTAGCTGTGCGGAAGGTAATTATTTCTCTTTTGCATTCTCTTACTTCACTTTGGCTTACTAACTTGTTCATAAAAACAGTCGTCGGCAGGTCAATTAATTTTAGAGGGTTCATTATCAGAAGACTATTACAAGATTAGATCCATAATATATGCACAACACGCTATTTTGTAATGGCATCGAATTTATGTTAAGTGTTTCGCACTTAAATTCTGTTGCAACAGAATAATGGAGTTGTGGTTTCAAGTTTGGTTCAATCTTGTTACTATATCGTTTATAGTTGGATTTAATAAAAATTAAAGTTTGAATTTACTTGTTATGTTTTCATTATAAATTTCGACTTACTTTAGTTATTTATAATTATACATTCAAAATTACCATTTATAATTGGATCCATAGTAATTTCGTCTAAAAAGTGTGATGGCGATTGTAAAAAATAAAATTTTTTCTATGGCTATTAATAAGCAGGTTCAAAAATATGTGACTATAATAAGAATTTGTAATTATAATGTGACTATTATTATTTTTATACTACAACTGGTATTAAAAGCAAGTTTTATTAAGAATTAACTCCTTCTAGCATAATATCAAATGTCTTATACATATTATATATTTCTATATACTGTACAAATTAATTATAATATTTTGTGATTTTTCTATTTAGATTAGTTTAGTATTGAGCTTTCAAAAAATTTTTTTTGTTTAATTTGTAAACCGTGATCGGTATTAGATGCATGCACTTTTTATTTATTAAATCAAAACTTAATAAATTTTGTGAGAACAATTTGTCCTTTCAGATAGATACCAATCATCTCTTATAGATTATATATTTTTATATACAATATATACAGTAGATTAAAGATTACCTAATGAACTGACACAACTAGATTTGCTTATACTCTATAAGTAGGTAAATTTAATTGGAAATCAGATAGTAGAATGCATGGTTATTAACAACATGCTCAGATTAGTTAGTTAGTATTGAGTTACATAAATTTTTGTTATTTCACTAAATTAATATAATTATATTATTTACTTGATAAGTTTAAGTTTAAGTTTAAGTTTTTTTTTTTTTTTTTTTTTGACAGGCTCATGACTAACTTTATTGTTTTCCAAATTACATATATACATTGCGCAAAGCGTGTACAGGGATATATATTCAGTGACTATAAAGATAATGATAAGCTAAAGCTATTTCTAAAGCTACATCAAGGCTTATTGTCCTTTTTTTCACAAAAGAAAAACCAGCATCCCTAGAGCATGCTGGTGTTTGAAAATAATAATAAAAAAAAAAAAAATAAATAAATAAATTGAACAGTCATGTATCATTTTGGGCGGGTATCAGTTTTGTTTCTTGGCCCATGCCTGTCTTGTTCTGAACTCTCTTGTAGAAAGATCTAGAGAGAGATACTTTTACTAAGTCTTTTACAGAAATAAGTTGAAGACTATTAAGGAGACTTTACAGTTTTAAGACTTGTGGGGAGGGAGTAGTCAGGAAGGCCCAAGTGATATATTGGTGTCCGCATAAGTGACTTGAGAGTCTTCCAGTATATCATCAATTAAACCCATTTCTATCTAAATATGGGAATACTTACCCATCTGTGCCTCTTATTTCAGATTTAATTCCTTATAGAAAGGATAGCATCTAGCCTCGCGATAGACATATCCTGCTGGTGGCCGTTGGTATTAGCAATCAACAAGGATCTCCCAGATTATCCGACCGGCTCGCATGTCACTGCTGACATTTTCAGACTCGAGTTTCGATTGGTGAAGTGGCATTAGCCTTCCAGTCTTCCAGCTTGAGATTTTTTGAAGATAGGATGAAAACTTCCTGGGTTACTTTGCACACGAGCTTTACCATTGAGTATCCTTGATGGCTTCCTGCTTTCTCTGATTTAGACTTTTTCGGACAATAGATGTTAGAAACCTACCTGCTATACAATCAGGAATAGGTGGCTTTGACTTGAGAAAAGGTCAATCGAGCATCTTGTAACCTTTATCATGGTCGGACGGACCCTTTCTTTGTATCCAATGATGTGTCGGTAGTATGTCCTGTATCCACCCGCACCAATACATATGACTTATGATGGACTCCAGATTCTTATGGAGCTGAGGAAATACATTCAAACACGTGAGATGGCCAATAGAAGCTTGTTTATCAATCTTGTTCAACGTGTTTTGTGTCATCCAATCAGAATTAGTGAGATTCATGTTACCCAAAATTTCAGGGTCAAGCTGGGCTAGGTAAAATTCCCTAGAAAGCCGTGAAAAAAGTAGTTCTAAAAGGCCACAACCCCAGTTGAAGGGTAGAAGAATGAGTCCTTTGACTGGAATAAAATCTTTATTATCTCCACTATAGCTGAGAGGTGAGAGGTACTCTACAGTTAATCCTTTTTCCTTTAAGAACTTTCTTGCCATTGGTAGTAAAGGTGGAAGCTGAACTTTGTAGGCCGCAAGAGTTCAGTTTTATTCAAAAGAGGTTGTAAACAAAAGGGAGGGAAGTATGGGAGTTCTAAGAGAACTTTTGAGTTGATTTAAAGAGAGTAATAAGACTTTATTAGCAAAAAAGCATAAAAACTTCTTGCGAACATCTTTTTTGTATATGGTCAGAGGATCAACGAAAAGAGTTGTTTTCGATAAGTTTAAGTACTCTTTAATACATTTAGATATTATTTATTTAAATCTTAGAAGAGAATATATTACCTTTTTTCTTATTACCTATGATATTGAATCAGTTCCTATTAACTAATTTTTATTTAAACAAAGCATCAGATTAAAATATCTCAAATTAGAAAAATAAATTTCTTAAAATATATCAAAAATAAAAGAGTTTGGAAATATTTATGAAAGTTAGATAAAAAGTTTTTTTTTATACAATTCTTTCAATAATATGACTTTAAATTTCAGTTTCTAATTAATGAAAGGTCAAAAGTTTTATTTTTATTTAATTTGATGAATTTGAACAATTGTATATAACTTTTACAAAATAATCAATAAACTTGATTAAAAGTTAATTGTTTATTTAATTATTAAGTAATATTGAACTATTACTATACTATACAGATTTAAGCTTTCAAATTTTATATTATATTAATTTAAATTTGTTTATATATATTTAATAAAAAATAAATATTATTTTTTATATATTAAAAAAAAAAAATCTTATCTTCTTTACTATTATATATATAATTGAATCAATTTTTATTAATTAATTTTATTTAAATAAAATATTAAATTAAAATAATATAAATTAAAGAAATAATATTTTAAAATTTATTAAAATAAAAAAATTTATAAAATATTTATAATTAATTAAATCAAAAAAAAAATTTTTTTTAAAACCTTTTATTAGATTTTTTTTTTTTTTTTTTAATAACCCTCTGTCAGGTTAGTTAGGTGTGCTTTATTAAACCTTTGTAAACTATACATTAATA